TCATAATGATAACAGAATCTTACATCAAGTGAACATGGAGGAGTGAATATTTGAACCATGTGTGAAGGAGGGAAAAAGAAACATAGTGGAGCTTTTATTTGCACTGTACAGCCGTGGATTATCTTTGCTGGTTGGATATTTATTTCAGAGTTTTGTGGTTTCTCATGTCCTGGATTATAGGGAGTCTTGTAAATGGGTTTCATATGGTAGTTGGTGACCCTGAAGGACTCTATTTTTAAGATAATGAACTTCACAATTTTAAGTCAGATCCGTGTCACTCAGAGAATGAAGTAATTTTTATTTAGTTATGTAGGATTTTATCAGGTTGGTTAATACCTATAGGAAAATAGAATATTTGCTTTGATTTACCTCTCTATCACCTTCACTTCAATATTTCACACAAAAAGAAAAGGATACATTTTGGGTCATATACACAGGCAGCGTTTAGTCTCTGTCTTGCCACCGAATGACACTTCAAGTTCTTTGAGATGTGAGAGATGTACAGACAGTACCAGACTTCCAGAACCTCGGGTTCCACTCAGCTCCTGAGTCTGCATCACCTAAAGGGTGCCCAAGACTTTGCAGCCACGAGCCGTCCATTTGCTGTGCCCCTGACTCATTACTTGTGACTGCTGACTCATCTAGTTTCATTGCTCTTGTGAAAACCAGTCTGCGTTTTATCATGTAATTCAGAAGTACCCTATTACAGTGGAAAGAGTACCCCACAGTGGCTACGTCATACAGAGAAAAAAAATCAGTTTTTCATCTTTCTGTTTTTTAAAAGTCTCCCAAAAATGTATTGAGGTAAGAAGCAACAGAATCTCCTTACCTTCAAAGCAGTAGGTTTTCCATTAGGCGGTCTAAGAAGGATTTGTCTAGACCAGTATCTTCAGATCCTTTAAACCATTAATTAATTCCTTTAAACCATTAGTATGCCCAGCCTGTGCCACCACTTGGGAGTAATTTGCCACCACTTGGGAATAATGTGTCCACAAACGGTAAGTGAAAGACATTAAGGGTACCACAAGGAACATATGCAATAGAAGTACACGTGTGCTCCTAGACAAGAGCGACATTTGTCATAGTTTATCCAGAAAGCTTTTTTGAACACGTCCCCAGTGCCAGCCTTGCACTAGGCAAGGTCCACTTCTTTGCTGCCCTTGTGGCCTATGAGTAAGCCCCTATTGAACAAATTTGTCACGTATATAGTAATTTTCTATCTACTTGGCTATCTCCCTGTTGAGCTCCTTGAGCATACAGACCAGACCTTACTCATCTTTGTTCCACTCAGGTGAAGCATACTCTTCTGGAATGTTCTGGGTAGCTAGTAAACTCCTTAAAGAAATGGCCTGTCTTTGTATCCCAAGGACTCTAGGTTATTACTTGGTACATAGAAGGAACCCAGTAGACATTTTGCCAAAGAAATGAATTGAATAAAATACAATTATTTTAGAATTGCTAAGACTCTGGGTGATACAACTGAAACCTCGCTTCACAAATGAGAAGACTCGGGCCTGGAGAGGTGGATTCATCTGCCCATCATCCCTCAGCACATTATTAGCAACTGGAATTAAAGCTAGATGCACTGATTTATAAATCAATGTTCCTTTCAATCTAAATTGGTAGCTGCCTACAGTTTGCTGGCATTACAGAAACAAACTCCATGAAAATCACCAAACTGGGGCGCCTGGGTGGCTCAGTTGGTTGAGCGCCCAACTTTGGCTCAGGTCATGATCTCGCAGTTCGTGAGTTTCAGCCCCCACATCAGGCTCTGTGCTAACAGCCTGGAACCTGTTTCGAATTCTGTCTCCCTCTCTCTCTGCCCTTCCCCCACTCGCACTCGGTCTCTCTCTCAAAAATAGATAAATTTTAAAAAAGCTTTTTTTGAAGGAAAAGAAAAAGAAACTCACCAAAATAATATCCTATGTATCTAAAGCTCTTTAGAGGTTACAAAGCATTTTTTAAGTTTATTCATTTTGAGAGAGAGCGTGGGAGGAGGAGGGGCAGAGAGAGAGGGGGTAAGAGAGAATCCCAAGCAGGCTCTGCACTGTCAATGCAAAGCCCTTTGCAGGGCCTTTCATGCAGGAAACCATGAGATCATGACCTGAGCCAACAAAAAGAATCAGATGCTTAACCGACTGAGCCACCCAGGTGCTCCAGAGGTTACAAAGCATTTTAATAAACACTCTCTCACTTGCCTCTTGTGTTACCTCGATGAGATCAGTAAAGAATACAGTATTGCTGTCTAACAGATAAGGAAGCTGGGGTTCAGAAATCCTAGTGACTTGCTCAAAGGGTAGGACTCAAATCCTTATTTCCTGATGAGGCCTCTTTCTTTCGGGCAGTTATCTTCTGGTGCTATGAGAATTAACTGATATTTCCAATGAGGGGTTTATTACAGAGATTACAAAGATTTACCATTCTCCCTCCTTTCCCCCGAAAAAATATTAGAACTGTGCAGGGCCCTTTGTAGAACACTCTAGAAATGAAGCTTATGTAGGATTGGATTGGCTGTGGATTTGGAATGGGAAGGAAGGTGGGCCAGAGTGATAGAGGAGGATAATCTCCTGGGATACAGTGGAGGTAAGTGAGGTGAGAACTTTTAAATGGGAAAAAATGCAGAGAATCAGCACAGGACTAAGAAAATGATAGATGTGTGTGCTCAGGGTCCAAAGAAAAGGAGATATCTTTGATATAAAATAGAATAGGTCCTTGTTTAACCTTCTTGGATTCTTGGGAAAATATTTCGCAGCTTAGTATGTCTCGTCCTTCCCATGGGCCAAGAGCTGCCCTTCCATTAGGCCATCAGAGCAGGCCTGCTTTGTGGTCATGCAAGGCACTGCATTTAATGCTCTGCCGTTGATCTCTTGAAAATCTTCACAACCGTTGAACACCAGACTGCACATTTTCATTTTACATGAGGCCCCCCAAAGAGGTAGCTAGTTCTAGTTAAGAAACTAGGGCTTTGGGGGCGCCTGGGTGGCGCAGTCGGTTAAGCGTCCGACTTCAGCCAGGTCACGATCTCGCGGTCCGTGAGTTCGAGCCCCACGTCAGGCTCTGGGCTGATGGCTCAGAGCCTGGAGCCTGTTTCCGATTCTGTGTCTCCCTCTCTCTCTGCCCCTCCCCCGTTCATGCTCTGTCTCTCTCTGTCCCAAAAATAAATAAACATTGAAAAAAAAAATTAAAAAAAAAAAAAAAGAAACTAGGGCTTTGCCAATTTTTCCCAATTAGGTAGGATTTTTTCCATCTTTTGCAGGTGACTAATTCTTTAGGATAGAAGAATCTTTAAGCCATGATGCATACTTTCTATAAAACAAAAATTAGATTGCAAAGAGACCAGCAGAAATGAAAACTAAGCAAAAATGGTAAGCCTAAAGTGATTCTGTTAAACCTTTACGAATCTGATAATGATCAGCAAATGATCATGTGTCAAGAATTAGGATTTTTGAAATGACCAATTAAGTCCTTTATCCTGAATCTTCACACATTGCTTCAACCATGTAGAGGAAGTGATTGCTCTTTTCATATTGAGAAAAGGGTTGTGGCTGAACAATCCTGAGAACTTGATGTGGGTGAAGATGCCCGGTCTCTTCTGAATAACTTACATCCTTACCCAGAAATTTCAAAGAGCCAGTATGAAATCATCAAGAGCTCTTGAGCTTACACAGCTGCCCCTTCTTGCCTGATGCCTGGAAGTTCTTTCTCTTCCCCTTTCTCCTGCTGTCCCTCGGTAGTGGAATCTTATCAAACTTTATATTACTGAATAATAATCATAAAAATAAAAACAACTTTATATTACTGCTCAGTTCTCTCTTGGGATGGTTTGGCAAAGAATGCGACGAAGAAAAATGAAAAACTGTTTATCTTCGTATTTTATCCATCTTACAGTATCTATTAGGACGGTGATAGAGAAAGTGTTTGTTGGGATTATTTCTGAAATTGATGTGGATATTATCCTTTATTGGGAAGCTCTGCTTAGTGTACACATAAAAGAATATCACTCCATTAACAGTAAACACAAGAAATTTCTGGGGGAAAAGTTTCTCTTCCCCTAGACTCAAAGTGTAAGTATTAACATTTATTTGAGTAATAATCGTATGGCTGCTTTGCAACTCTGCTCCACTGTGATCTTTTCTTTTCTGGCCTCGTGTTACACTGAATTCGGACGAACACATGTTCACCTATTTGCTTACTCATTGATAAAACAAAAGTATCAAGTACCTGCTAAATGTTGGTCATGGTGTGGTGGGGAGGAGGAAGGAAGCGCATATTTTACTACTCGATCATAATTAGCCCTGAGTTTCAGATGTATGTGTTTGGACTTCTTCAGTGATAGTGAAGCATTTGAAGACAAAATGTGTCTTACACACTTTGGACTGGGTATTGAGAACAGAATACGCTCCATAAAAAGTTCCTGGGTGGAATTCAGTTTGGAACAAAAGTAGAATTACTTTCGGACTTCCACACAAACTCAGGGACGCCTGCGTGGCTCAGTCAGTTAAGCATCCTGACTTCGGCTCAGATCATGATCTCACGGCTCATGAGTTCGAGCCTCGTGTCGGGTTCTGTGCTGACAGCTCAGAGCCTGGAGTCTGCTTCAGATTCCATGCCTCCCTCTCTCTCTGTCAGTCTGTCTGTCTCTCTCAAAAATGAATAAACATAAAAAAAATTAAAAGAGCTCAAAGGATAGGAGTCAGAGAAGGAAAAGGGCTGAGACGGGCACAGACGCGTGTTTCATAAAACAAGAAGAACTTGCCCGAGTGAAACTAGAGGGTTATTTTAGCTGAGCCCATAATGACAGAGAAAAAGAAAGAAAAATACCAGTAGAGGGTAGAAAATGTTAAGTATGTGAAGTGAAAGAATCTGGAGTTCTGAAGAAAAGCTTTAGCTGTGGAAATGAAAAGAACATTTCAGAGTTTTCTGAAAAAATAAATTAGAGGTTGTAATTATGCAGAGTGCTCTAAAGTCAAATAGAGAAGGGAGATGGCATTTTCTAGTAGTTGTTAGAATAAAGATTAAGGAAAAGAATCCATGGTGTCATGTTCCTCTTTTGTTGAAATGTTAGGAAGTTTTAAGAAAGGTTAAAGTAGAAGAAACAGAAATAAAACAAGAGGCCATAGATGCAGTGATGTCATTGATAAAAAAAAAAAAAAGCATACTGTAACTGGATCGTTGGCTTTGGAGGGGTCTTCCTGCCTATTTAGCAATGTCCCTATACCTAGCTGAATGGCGGAATCACCTGATGAACTTTTGAAAGTAATTCCAACATCCCTCACCTCCTACAGTGAATCTTTTAGAAATAGAAAGGAGGTGAGTTTGGCACAAGCTGTTATTAGTGAGTCCTTTTTAGTCCCTAGTAATTACCCCGTTCTCATTCTTTTTCTCTCGAGTTTCTATAAGCCGTCTATTTAATGATTCATCCAGGAACTTGAAACTCACTCTTCCACTATTTTTTAAAATGTATCTCCTCCCCTCCCCGATTACTCGCCCCGCCTTAAAACTCACGCCGTTTGGGGCGCCTGGGTGGCGCAGTCGGTTAAGCGTCCGACTTCAGCCAGGTCACGATCTCGCGGTCCGTGAGTTCGAGCCCCGCGTCAGGCTCTGGGCTGATGGCTCAGAGCCTGGAGCCTGTTTCTGATTCTGTGTCTCCCTCTCTCTCTGCCCCTCCCCCGTTCATGCTCTGTCTCTCTCTGTCCCAAAAATAAATAAATGTTGGAAAAAAAAAAAATTAAAAAAAACAAAACAAAAAAAAAAACCTCACGCCGTTTGTCTAGGCTTACTCTTCTGCCCTCCCCCGTGTCTTCCAGGCTTGCTCCGAGAGCACCACAAAAGTTCTATGGTCATATCTTCCAGTTCCTTCAGTGAACTTGGATAAGGTTCATTTGGGCCTGGAGATAGGAACCTAAAGAAAGCAGCTAGATGCTGCTCCCTTTTAGTCCTATCTCTCAGGCTTCAGTTCCTTCTTAATCTGTTGTTTTGTGGCCTGGTTTGAAGATCATTCCCTCTGATAGGGAAGGTGGGAGCGAACAGAATGCTAACAGTTTCTGTTCTCTTTTACTATCATCTGCTAATACTATAATATCTGCCCCCAGGGGGATGTGAATCATTCCTTGCATTCACTCTAAACATACGTTAACAATTCCTTTTATTGTCCTCTGCATTTTTCTCAAGCTTGAGCTCATTCTCAGATTTAACCCCTCCTGACACTGTTCTTAAGCCAATCCTCTTTGTATTGGTTTCTGATTGTGTGCTTTTCTCCTCTGTTGTATCATTCCTGTGTCATCAGCCACATGCCATTATTTACATCCCCACATCCTCCACTGCATTTTAACTCACCCATATTAACTTTACACTTTTATCGTCAACGTTTCATTGTTGGGTACCTCACTTCTCCCTTAAGCCATCTTTTTGTCTTAGACTCTGGTCATGGGACCGTATCATTTTTTCCTCTGAACTTTCAGAACTTTGCGTCCCCAAATCTTGAGAAGTATAGTCTGTGGCACAGCTTGCTTTAAAATTGGAAAAATGTCTGGGTCATCCCTAGGCCTGTGGAATCTGAAGCCCCCCGGGGTGGCTCTGGGAATCTGGAAATTAGTAAGCTTGAATGATTAGAAATGACTCTACCCAGCCGTTCTTTGTCTGACTCTTATGAACACCAAGTAGCACTTTCTTTGAAGTTTCCCATCACTTCAACTTTGCTTTGTTGGTAATTCCTCTCATTAACCCCTCCAATTTCTGAAAGACAAAATTGTCAGCAAATTAATATTTCATCTGTTGCTCTGCTTTTAAGAGAATACAACTTTTGAAAATAACTTGAATTTTTCTGAACACTACTATATCTTGCCTCCATGGTAATGACATGAAATATTATGGGAGCGCCTGGGTGGCTCAGTGGGTCGGTGACCGACTTTGGCTTGGGTTATGATCTCATGGTTTGTGAGTTCAAGCCCCGCATCGGGCTCTGTGCTGACAGCTCAGAGCCTGGAACCTGCTTCAGATTCTGTGTCTCCCTCTCTCTCTGCCCCTCCCCCACTTGTGCTCTGTCTCACTCTGTCTCTCAAAAATAAATAAATGTTTAAAAAAAAATTTTTTTTTAAATATTATGTATGTCCCCAGTCTGGTGAGGTTGTCCATAATGTATTTCCATTAGAATCCTACCATAAGAGTTCAGTTTTGTTTCTTCTTTTTGGACTGAGTGCAAAGAGTTGACTGAACAATAATCCTCAGTTCACAGCTCTCTCATTTATCCACCCATCCTTGTGTGAGTTTCTCTCCCCTCCTTTTATCTCCAATCCATACCTCTGTTCTCATCTCCTCTACATATACTTACTGTAAAGTGCTTAGTCTATATCCGTAAACAATTAAAGTGGTTTTACCTAGCTATTTTTAATTTACAGAAATGATATTTTGCTCTAAAGATCATTGTTTGATTTTTTCCACACAGCAGTTTTTAATGTCTGTTCTAAATAATTTTATATGAATCTAATTTATTCCTTTAATGATATTTTATGGTATGTATATTCTGCCTTTTACTTCTGTATCCCCTAACGATGGACGTCTAGGTAGCCCCCTTTCCTACCCAAAGGTAGTAAAAAAAAAAAACATCCTCTTCCATAACCCCTATTGCACCTGAGGAAATTTCTCTGGCTCAGAATCATGACCCACTGAATGAACTCTTTACTGCCAGGTAACATCCCCAGAATCATGGTGTTGATATATGTTTCCATCTCCTAAGGTCTTCACCTGTACTTGGTATTATCCACCTTTCTAATTTTTATCATTCTAATGCATATCAAGTTGCATTTTATTATGGTTTAGTATGGATTTCTCTTATTGCAAGCGAGTTTGGGCATCTTTTTATATGCTTACTAATTCTTCAGGCTTGTCATTCTATAATTTTATTTATCTCCTTTGACCATCTTTTTGGTTTGATTTCTTCTTTATTCTTTTGGGTTCTCCTTATCCTTATTAATTCACAGTCTTTTGAATTTGCCACTGGTATACATACCTCATAAAGCAAAAATCCTTAACTTTGAACTGGTCCAGTCCACCCTATCATTTTCAATGGAACTGGTTACAGTTTGGGCTTTTAGGCTCTTAAGAAATCTTTTTCCACTCCTAGGTCACGAAGATATTTTCCCTACATTTTCTTTTATTTGGTTGATGTGCTTACCTTTCATACTTAGGTCCTTAATCTATTTACATTCTACTTTGTGGTTTATAGCATAATCTAGGGATGTAGTAATCCAACTTGATTTTTTTTTTCTTAACGTAATAAAGACGTTTTCCCAGCACCAGCCACTAGAGAACATTATTCCTGTCCATGAGGATTGTGATGCCCTGAGACAACACGCAGCGCACTGGTCAAGGGCATGGGCTCTGGGGCCTGACTGCAGTGGTCTGAATCCCGGCTCTGTCACACACCGGCTTTGTGACATAGGCAACTACTTAATAGGACTCCAAGTCACAATGAAGAAGAAATGAGATGTTCCTAGGCATACTGAAAGTGCTTAGTTCTTGTTATTTATCAATATATAATTTTGTTGTATATATTCTTCTACATACATGGAGTCTATTACAGTTCTATTATTCTGTACTCAGTTTCATTGGTATCTTTTTTTTTTTCTTGTGCCAGTATATGGGATAACTGTGTCTTTCTAATATGTCTTATATACCTTCCTCGTTCCTTTCTCCTCCTTTTTTTATTTTCTTTTTGCAATCCTAACCCAGGATCACCTCAGTTTTGCAGATTGAGAAAGTTGATTTTGTCCATGTTTCCTTAGGTGGATGTAACTTGGACACCTGTTCTAGGGAATGAAAAAAATCTTGGAGGAAATTACTGCATAAAACAGATTGCCAATGTAATTTATTAATTTACAGTGGGATAGAGTACTGCCATGCCAACCTGGGTACTTGCTTTTCTTGATTACCTGCACATTCTTCTCTGCAGGAGAGTAGGTTGGCAAAGCATTTTAGAGTCAGGAGCTCATGGGACCAGAGAAGGTGGTAGATGGAAGATCTAATGTCATCACACCATATAGTTAGAGACATACGCGTGCTATAAAATATAGTGCCCAGAGTGGAGCTATACTTACCTGCCAAGTAAGGCAAAAAACCTGACCACTTCTTCCTCTGGACAGCGTCGAGGACACAGGGACAGATTCTTCTTTGTCCATTCCGCCCTCTGCTCCCACCCATGCATAGATTTCAGCAGAACACATTATTTCCCTCTTTGGGTTTATCAACACCATTGACTGAGCCTCAGCCATCTTCCCACATTCCAGCCACACTCACCTTGATTAGATTTCTAGACCCTGGATTTCATCCTGCCCCTTAAGGTAACATCTCCAGATAACTAATCTCATCTAATGGGAGTAAATTTTACTAGTTTAACTAGGAGAACGAGTGCAGGAGATTACCCATTGCCCTATTTTGCCTCCTACGTGTCACACATCATGGCCACATAGAATCAGGTTCGTTCTATCTGGCTGCTTTCCACACTCTCCTTCCAGGTCCTCTCTTACCCACTAAGCCCCCAAACACATTCTCTCCACTGTCCTTTAGTTGACTCCACCCTACTCATCTTCCTAGCTCTCCCCACACCTCAAGCCAGTCTTACTCTGTCTTAAATTAGTACCCAAGCTGGTGGCACTTTAGCATCTCAGCGTTGGAGGGACAAAGAATTGTGATCTTTAGAGTACTAGGTTATTTTAGGTTCAAACAGCTAGACCTTTTCTGAATGCATTTAAACCCATTTGCTATGGATAACCATTATCTAACCTACGACCTTGGGCATGTTTGCCGCATCAAAATTTATTTACAGAGATTCTTGGACAGAAGAAGCTGGTGACAATGAAAAGCAGCCACTACTAATTCAGATATTTTATATCAATTGTTTTTCTGACTTGACACACAAAATTGAGTCACAGCCTTAAATATAGGTATTATTATACAATTAATGTCAGAACAAAATAATAGCCTGCTCTATTTTGATTTTCACATTGCCATTGTATTTATAGCTATTTATTTCCATTGTTCAATCATAACTTACTTTGACTTCGTGTTCAATAGGTTGTGCAACAAATTTACAGTTAAATAACATTATGTCTCGTCTCAATCAGTCATGCTGCCATAATTCAGGTAAACAGACAATAATGAAGTAGACACAGCCCAGAATGTGTATTCTGTTCCTCAGGAAGCATCTTGAGAGGCTCAGGTCATAAAGGAAAATACCCCAGTCCCTTTTGTGATTTTTTTTTTCTATGCCATCTGTATTTGGGCATTCATAATCTTGTAGGTAGTCCATTAGACATAACCAGGGTCTGTAATTTTAGTCACATCAGTAGCCTACATTTATATACTTTTAACTTGTCCAAGTAGTCGCCTTCATTAGCTCACACTAGCTAGTTTATGTGACATAAATTCAAGAATGCATTATTATTGTATTTTGAAATTGGGAAACCAGACGTTAGAGGGAATAAGTGGCCTGCCTGCACTTTCCGGCGTTGAAATTAGAAGCCAGCTTTTCGGATTTCTGCCCTTCCCCGGTGCCTCTACACTCTCTTCCTGATGGTGGCGCTCTTCTCTCAGAAAATGCCACAATTCCTGTGCACTGCTGGGCCATGCTCAAGCCAACATTAGAAAGGTCTAGAACCTTCCTTGTAAATGCATATGGGTGAAATAGGCTTCCTTCAAGGATTGAAACTGGGGAGGTGAGGAGTCTCTCTAACCCTTGCCAGAGTTCTGGTACTTGGGTTTTCCACGGGGCCCTCTCCTTGCAGCCCAGGACACTGAAGGTGCTGTTAAAGGGCTGTGTTCACTGCTGAAGTGAATACAAGGAGCCTTTGGCAACAGCTTACAGTATACCTTTGTACGCCCTGTGATTACCTGAAGCTCAGCTGGGACCTCAGGAACTAGGAATCAAGAAAGATTTAACAGATGTCAGGGCATCACAAAACTTCCAGAACAGAGAACTGTTTCCAGAAGGGCCACCGCAGTGGGATGCCTTGACAGGAATCCCAGGCAGTATCAGGTGAGCATTGGAGAGGAGAGTGCTGCCCAGCTAATTTCATGGCTTTTCCAAGACTGGTCCTTTTCTGTACCAGGATCTGCCAAAGTAAAAAGAGTAAGATAAGGATCAAGTTAAACGAGGTAGAACATATAAAGCATTTAGTATAGTACCTAGCACAGTAAATCCTCAATTTCTCTTTGCAAGCAAGAAAGCAGAGAAGCACAGTTGCACAGAAATGAGAATTCAGCCTTGGGAAAAAACACACATGGAAGAGCAAGAAACAAAATGTACCTCTTTTCTGGAGCCCCTTCTCCTCCCATCTCCCAGCCCATGTCGTGAACATCATGTAGCCTCCCTGTCTGCAAGTTGAATGCATCTGTCAGTTCTAATATGGAGCTGAAATATGGAATTCTTAGAAATCTTCAAGTAAATCAGCCATGCCAGGATAACAGAACAAGGGAGAAAGTTTTCCATTTGTCCATTGACTTTATTTCAGGAGTTAAGAAAGTCAAGGCTAAATAAACTAAAGGCTAAAGGCTAAATAAACTAAACTTCAGACCAACCTTCAAGATTTTAAAGTCCCATAGGTTGGTGATTTCCTGTATGAATTTCCTAGAGAACCATTCGTGTTCAGGGCCCCCTCCTTTTATATCTCTTTTTTATTAGTCATGACGTAAATGAGAGACCTGGCATTCCCCAGTGTACTGTTTTCTCTGTCCCCTATTATTCAAGCCTAGAAATTACATCTGAGTCCTCCTTGTTACAGGTGACAAACAGCATTTGTTTTACATTTTGATGCAGTCAGGTTCTCAGGTTCCAGCCTGTCAAACAAGCTCCGAACGGCTGGTAATCTCCCAGACTTTAATCCTCTCCATCTTTTATTTGTGTGAAGGAAGTGCAGGGCATTAACCCTCTCAAAATTGCAAAGACTCATTCTGTTTGCAACTCTTGAATATCGTATTACAAGGCAGAGTGTGATTTTTATTGTCAACTGGAGTATGCTTAAATGAAGCATACAGATGCCTCAAGAGGGGCCACGAATTCCCTCAACACTTAACCTGGGCTCTGGTAACGAGGACACTTGCTGGCTAGGTAGGAATGTCAAGTGGCCGTGGCTACACTGATGGAGGCATACAATTAGTTTAATTATAGTACCTACTCCTATGTAATCATTTCTCAAGAAGCATGGACGGTTGCTCACTCTACTGGTAGTTTTTAAGTCTTCTGCACCGCAAGACTTCTCTTAGGAAGTTGGCTGTGGCCTAGCAGGTGTGACATTCTTTGCTGCCACATAGCATCAAACCACTTTGCAGATTCAGTCCCCACTTGCCTTCCCTTCTCCCTGCCCTCCAAGTATCACACCAGGGCCATATTTGCCCAAAGAACTTTGTTGTTGTTGTTGTTGTTGTTGTTGTTGTTGTTGTTGTTGTTTATCTACAGGAGAGGAAAAAAATTAATATCTTTTAGGAAAAAAAAACTTATCTTAATGATAGGTTGCTTTTATTAAATGTACCTTCTTCAGGGACCTTAATCTTTGCACCCAAGTATCTTAGAGACAACCAGCATTTATCTTTATAGAAGGATAGGCATTCCAAGCACAGTGTATTGCTACTCATGTCATTTATTATTTTCCTTTTGTTGTTCACACTGATGCAGTTGAGATAGTCTTTGGATGAATAAATTAATAAGCTCTGTTGAAGAAAAATGACTTTGGCTATATTACCACACATATGAATCACAGGGTGCAAATTCAGCAGTGTTTGAAATAGGATTTTTCTAGTCTCTTTGGGAAAGGGTAGAAGGAAAATGAGCAAAGTGGTTAACTCTTGTGGACTGTACTCAGTGGAAGGAAGTCAGTGACAAAATCAGCAAAGCAAGCAGAACAGGAGATTATTTATCCATCAATCTTTATCTACCCATCCATCCATCCATCCATCCATCCATCCATCCATCCATCCACTTGTACTTGGCTGGAACTCTATAGAATTCCTTTAAACTGCTCTTTTGCTTACCTCATTATATTCAACTTAGGAAACATTAAAATTAGTTGTACATTCCATAAACATTAATACACTGATGGAAAGGAAAGATAGCCCGTAAATTTTTGGTCGAAGGAGTTAGAATTTTAAATTATTCCTGAATAATCCCCCACAGACTGATGATCAAGTATAGACTCAACTCTTAATTTTGCTGTGCAATGCTTAAATGGGCACAGGTGAAGAATTCCCTACTTACATATGATGGCAAGCTAAGGTTTTGTTCCATCAGTACTTAACCATAGCAGCTTATATTTGTGAAGAGTCTTTTTCTGAAGAGTTTAAAATATTCTGTAATTCACTACCTTTTATGCGCGGGGACCCAGAGGAATAGAAATGTCACATCATGACTGAGGGACATAGCTAATGCCAGAACACAGCTCTCTTAACTTCCAGCTTATTACTTTATCTTATCTTGCTACCTGTCAGCATACTGATGACCCTTAAATCTGTCTCCTCTCAATGCTAAATTCACAGATATTTTTTTTTTAACTGTGACTGAATCTCAGTGGACAGAGGCAACCAAGGTATCTGGCATTTCATCACTAACCTTGTAGATTCTACATCCTTTGAAATTTTGTCTCTGCACCTGGGAGCATCCGAGGTGGCCCCAAGGCCATGTGCTTTCCCACTAAAAACTGCTTGATGCTGTATTACCAAAGGTGTCAGCAGCCATAACTGGGTCTAGCTTTTAGTTGCCACGGATTCCCTAAGGGTGCAGAAGACGAACCATCCTACTTAGGTCTGGGAGGCTATAAAGACAAAATCTGTAGTTCCATGTAACCATCCCTCTTCCCTACTGTGAATATCCCCCAATATCTTTGTCTACCAACAAGTGTGAACTGTCCCAGAAAGTTTCTTCTTGCTGAAAGCAGTGGCTCCTAGAAAGATGACCTCTGTTTCTACAACCTTTACTGATATCTACATCCAGTGTCTTGTATCTGTCTTCATGAATGATCGGAGGTATGTAAAACTCGGAAAATTTAGAGACATTTAAAAAGAGTGCTGTGAATATGATTAAAGGGCTTGTAAGTTAACCACTTAGGACCTACAATCCTAAAACTTGAAGGCACCAAGTTTATATAGTCGAGGGAAGAGAAAATAAAGAAGAAACATAATAATCCTCTACCAGTGGTGTTTACGTGATGAGTTACTCTGTAAAGAGTGCTGATCAGATGGTCCCCATCCTCCTCTAGGTGAGGGAAAGGCAGAGGAAGGGGATAGGTTTAAACTAAAGCATGGGGGATTTAAGTTAGATAAAAGAAAGAATTTCCTGACAATACAGTTCTTAAACTCTGACATGGGTTATCAAGAAAGGTTATGGAATCTTCTTATCTAGAGAACCTTAAAAACAACATCGATTCCCATCTGTCTGGGATAGTTTGGAACAGACAGCCCTAAAAACCTCTCAATGGATTAGATTATCTTTTAAGGTTCTTTCTAGCCCTATGATAAACAAGGATAACTGAGAGTATTAGTAAATGGCCAATCAGTAAACATTGCATGGCAAAACTATCTTGACCCTACAGATAACCAACATCACAATTACCAGTTTCAATGGGCTTATACTAAGACCTGCCTAAAAGTGTAAGAAAATCCAGCCATTTCTAGCAGTTTGTTGTTCTGCTATTTATTTTTATGGGGTGATTCTTATGTGTAGAGTGTTTGAGTTTATATAGCTAAATCAGCTGTTCCTTCCCTCCCTTTTTTAATTCCTTTTATTGTTTTACTGCTGAAATTTTCACAATGAAATTATTTCAGTTTTATCAAATGAGTTATAAATAAATAAGTATGGCCACTGTTGTGTTTATTTATAAGAGCAAAATTGTAACTTAAATATCCAAAATGAGGAGGTTTACCGCAGTAATTGTGGTATCCATAGGATGAAACATAGTGGAGCCATTAAAATTTTAAACTTTCAAGAACATTTCATTACCTGGGGAAATGCTTTATATGGGAAAAAATACTGCACAAAATTATATCCATGGCATGATTCCAAATGTCTTCATACAAGGAAATACAAATCTGGGAATAAAATGCACCAGTATTGGTGGGATTTTGGTGATAAAGTAACAAGAGCTTTTGTATTTTCCCTTGAAATTTTTTTTAGTCTTTTTAGATTTTCTGTAGCATATATGAACATCTCTTATCAGGTTAAAACGTTGTAATATAAAATAAGTTCAAATCTAATCTCATAGATACAGAGAACAAATTGGTAGTTGTCGGGGGGGAGGTAGTTGATGGATAGATGAAATGGGTGAAGGGGGTACAAAGTTACAGTTATAAAATAAATAAGTCATAAGGAAGTAATGTACAGCATGGTAACTATAATTAATAATACTGATTTGCAATTTGAAAACTGCTGAGAGAGGGGCTCCTGGGTGGCTCACTAGGTTAAGCGTCTGACTTCAGCTCAGGTCATGAGCTCGCCGTTTGTGAGTTTTGAGCCCTGCGTCAAGCTCTGTGCTGACAGCTCAGAGCCCGGAGCCTGCTTTGGATTCTGAGTCTCCTTCTCTCTCTCTGACCCTCCGCCTCTCATTCCCTCCCTCCCTCCCTCCCTCCCTCCCTCTCTCTCAAAAATAAACATTTTTTTAAAAAGTATTTGAAAGCTGCTAACAGAGTAGATCTTAAAAGTTCTCGTCACAAGAAAAAAAAATGTTGTGACCGTGTGGGGTGACAGGTGTTAACTAAACTTACTGTGACCATCTCACAATACATGCAAATATTGAATCATTATGTTGTACATCCAAAGCTAATGTTATATGTCAATTTTACCTCAATAAAAAAATTTAAATCTAAAAATTAAACATCGTATACTTTAGAT